ATAAACTAAAATGCTCAAACCTTCGTATGTACGAACGTTCGAACGATGTTTGGAACGATTTACTTGTTGTAGGTGTCCTCTTAGATGAAGGCCTGTCCTGACCTGCTCATGATTCATCCTCGTGCACTTCCAAATTTCGGTCCTCATGATATGCTAAACGGCTCACTCACATGCTCCAATAAATTTGCCCCACTAAAACTAAATGAGTAATGTTGGTCTGTGCTGTGTCAAAATTTAGGTCTGAACCACCAGGTTGGTTAGCACTACCTTTATGGGCCTCACACGTATTAAAAACAACGGACAACGTGAAGTTGTCTCTCCAAAGTCCGGATAACATAAAAACGTTCACCTTACTCATGTCTAACACATTTATTCATTCCATTTACTCGTACCAGACAATCAATCGCATTTACCCACGGTGAAAAGTGTAGCCAAGAGTAGTGACAACAGTGATCGATCGGAATTTACCGAGCATTACTCGTGTTCGTAGGTAAAATATATATGTTCTAGCAAATTGCTGCATGGGTTCAGTTGCGTGGTTTAATGTAGCATGTTTGACATCACTGTACAAACTTATTATATTCCTTTATTCGCATGCCTGTTTAACGTTGTGTGCTACTGCTGAAACATGCGGGTAGTGTCTGGCTGAGTGTCAAAGCGCACTCCTCGCATCTGATGCGAAGTTGGCATGGAGATTATGGAGCAGTGCATGTTTATCCTGTTTGTCATTGTTTAATTTTCTAAGAATACCCAGGGAAATTTGATGGGACGCTTGGGTACGTCCAATTACCAGAACCTCTGTGCAAATATTTTTACTTTCGTTTCCAATGGCACGTAGCCGCTGAGTTCGTGTTGGTGAGCAAGCAATTCAGTTTTAAGGAGCGTTTTTCCTTCCACGTGTACTGGGTTGATGATGTGCGAGTTTTTGGCAAACAGTGTTATGTGGTGGATGTCTTGGGGTTCCACTCTAATGGTACAGCAATATGTAGAGGAATCCTTCACGGCTTTTGAAGACCAAGACAGATCTCACTGTTACTTAGAGATTCGGATCTATGCAGCTAGTGGAACTTAGACCATGGAAGTTTGTCAATTTTGTGGCAGCCCCGATAAGAGGTATAGCCACGAATCAAAGAAGCATACATCTTGGGAATACAATGATAGTAATCTTCGAAATTACGTTGCATTTTACGAAGTCAGTGATTCAGATGATATCTACTGGACCGTCAGGTTGCTTGAATAGCGAAAGAAGAACTAAGTGAGCCTTGATGCGAAGGCCGGCACATAGAGACTGGAGCTTACCGTGGTGTGACGGTTTGTGTGCCTTCGTGACTCGTGGAACTATACAGGGTAATATCCATGCAACATTCAAAGCTTCTCTCATACCAGGCTGCTCAGTGGGTAGAGGTCTGATCAGCAGTCTCCTGGCCCTCCAGGTCTGGAGTTGGAACACATGCAGTGGCTTGTTCTATAGAAATGGTAATCACTTGATGTTAATTCCTCCTGTGGTTCAACTTTGATCAGTGGTTATCTTCCTTTTCCGACTACTCATGAGTAGCGCGATTTACGCCGGTTTGTTATAACACCATTCGTTTCTTAGTTGTACGTTCCCCGAGTTTCTACTCCTACTTAAGGTCTATTTATTCTCTAGTAACTGCTGACAAGATTTAGTTGCCAGTCCGTCTTTGCTTGCAAGTTCATGTCAGCTCTACCCATTTTCGAGAGTCTACTCTGACGGAAAGTTGCCGCGAGCGGGGATTTGAACTCAGAACACTTCGAAGCGTTACCCGCTACACCAACTCGACGTCCTAAGAGGCCCTAAAACTTCGTATTGCCATTATACCGCATCTCTCAGCTGGTCTTTTTTGAGATCTGTTTTAGACGGACCTTAGAGCTCAATCCGATTCAGCACGTGACATGAGCTGCTGCATTGCGCTGTCTGCCAAGACTGTTCCTTACCTCCCGAGCGTAATGACTTTTTTCTGCGCCGTTATCTTTGTGTACGGTCAGTTCACATTGTCCGACTGCGCATACGTTTGTGCATCATTTGGCACTTACTTGCTACTGCTTCCAGAGGGCCCTGCTGCCTCATTAGTCATTTTTCTGCTCCTACCAACTAGGCTCTTATTGATCCTACGTTTTGCTTAATCCAAGATGTTTGTCCATAGAACCAGTTCTCGACAGTTCTTAATACAGCATCCACTGCGCTCGATCGTATGTTCCTACTGCCCACTGAATACGAACTGCGTATACTCCGATAGATGCAGTCTTCCTGTTAGGTCCAGATCTTACACTTGGATTTTCCGCCAAACACCGCTCTCTGGCGGTCAGTCTCCTGAGCCATAGGCTTCGGCTGAGGACCCTAATCATCCTTCTGTCTATGTTGCGGTCAGGCTTCTGAGCCATAGGCTTCGGATTAGTACCCTAATCGTCCTTCTGTCTATGTCTGGGTACCCTTACAGTATGCTTGTCCACGTACAACCATGATACTTATAAGTAACAGTGGTCTCATGGCCCCTGGGCCGCCGTATATTGTCATCTTCCGGGTATTCTTACATGGTGCATACAGCAGGGTGAGTAAACTGATGCCTCCCTTCTCAGTTTCACGAATTCCTTCCTGTGTCATATACCACTTCAATTCGGACACTTTCTTCGCAGGTCTCAGCATTGGGAATGATAGCTTTGTTCACAGTACATGACACCCAGCTGCAGTTTCTCTAAATCCAACTTCTGTGCCAACATTGAATATTGCGAAGTTTGTTTTCAAACCCTGGAAGCCGGTTTACTTAACTTTCGCACACAAAGTCAAGCAAAAAGGCAAGTGACTGTTGCCCCTAATTTAGATGTCTCTGCATTGATGTATGCAGAGAAACAAGGATACAATACGCAAATACTGAGATTGAACCGATTGGCCGCTCCTTCACTTCCGGGTCTCAAATGTGCAACTCTGGTTATTCAGAGGCTGCTGCAGACGGATATGCGGTCGCGGGCTTTGTATTGAGCGATCGAGCGGAGGATTTTCTGCTTGACTTGATGCCCGTTATTAGTCACTCTCGCAGGGTTATTTTAGCAGTCAGTAAAAGAATCTTGAGAAAGTGAGGTCTATTGCAACCCGTTTACTGTGTTTGTCTACGCGCCGACGGAATTCAGCTCTGAATCTTTCGAAGACATTTTGTATGACGCTTTAGATGCTCCTTTACAAAGAGTCAAAAGGCCAGAGATATTTGTGTTTGTTTGTGACGTTAAAGTCCACGTAATTAGACTAAGCGCAGCCGCAGTCCGATTGAGCGGTCATCTTGTGTTGGATACGAGATACACGGACAGCGGAGAGCGCCGGCCTCAGATATGTTTCTATCACAGCCCATTCCTTTGCAGTGCCCATTTCCGAAGCAGCGGATATCACTTGATATCGTAGGGCTCACCAAAGCAACATCCCCGAATGCGAATATACCACATCACCATCGTTTACCGGGGGCGAGGATTGATCACTGCCTGCAGCTCCTTAAGGAGTACTAACGTGGACTCCGACCATGCATTTGCACGCCGCTGTTTTTCATCGTGCTTTTCAGGTCTACGGAGAACGGGTACACCTCGCCTTGAGAAGGCAGTGGACCCAATAATGAAACAAGTCCACAGGAGAATAAGCTCCCCGAACTCCTACAGGGTAGTCCGATATCGGATATCAAAGGCCACTGGGAAAAGCTATAGAAAGTGCCACGCAGAGCCGGAAATTCCGTTTGCGGCACAGCACAACCAACCACATACAAACACTGCATCTCTGATTGGAACGTGGCTTTACCGGAAGTCCGGCGACATATTCCTCCAGGTCACAAACACGACTCCACCCGACGCATTATCCGACGCCAGGTGAAACTGATAAACTGTCAGTTTGACTTCCGTTGTAACAGGAGTCACCGATCTTTATCTTCTTATGGCAGCGAGGAATCCCTGACTCGTAAGCACTAAGTGGCATTTCGACTTGGTATAAGCTGTGTCAACCGCGTCCTCCATCAGTCGTTAGAGCGTGCAGTCTCTGGACATGCCCCTTACTATTCAAGGAGAATAACTGGTGGGGAACTTTATATACCTCGGTAGTTGCATTAGCTCTAATGTAAATGTGCCAGATGAAGCAGTTGCACGAATCTCAAAAGTTAGAATCACGTTTGTGTCAGTTATGGCCTCAAAAAGTCATCTCACCGGGTTTCGATGGTCGCGTGTGCCAGGCTACAGTAAGGGTTGTACTGTTTTATGGTTGCAAAACCTGGCTATGCGCATAGATGATGTGAGGCGTCTTCAGTTTTTTTTTACCACAGATGGCTTAGAAGCATTGCTAGTGTCGGAAGGCTTCAACCAATTTGTAACGAGGTAATTAGAACGCGGGTGTTTGGTTGTGCAGCAGATAACTGAATCAAGGAGAGCATCCAGCTCCATCAACTACGGTGGATGGGTCATGAGCTACGCGCGTCCAAACCCGTCTACAGTGACGAATGTTGTTCTCCGTATCTCATTCAGACTGGCGGAAATCATGAGTTGGAAAACGTGTGGCTTGGAAGGAGGTCGTAAGAGAGACTACGAAGAGTTTAAATGGTGTTGATGCAGTACGCCTTCTAGGATGGGGTTACCTATGCCTTGTGGAGATATTGCAGGGAATGGAAGCTGGTCAATATCAGTGGAGTTCGTGCTGTCGGCTTTTGTCCAGATCTTCTGCTTACGCTTCAAATAGAATTAGAAAAAGTTTGTGGTTGTGCGGCAGTGAAGCATCAATGTCAACACTGATGTTGGTGTCTCTGATGATGAGATGACGATGATGATGATGATGACAATTTATACACCCTCTTAATAATTCTTGAGTTAGTTGAAGTCGGCTGCCCTGTACAACGTTGAGCGTTCAATAAAAAGAGATCAAAAGGCATGATATTGATGTTGAGGAGGAATAGAAGGATAAGTGTGAACAAATTTCCGGTTAGAAAATAAGTAATGAAACATATTTCAAAGTCAAAATGTTAAAAGAAAAAAGACCGATGAGTGTGAGTATAATGTTTCCAGCTGAATGATATTGCACTTTGAAGCTTCGGGCGTCGAAATGCGGTCATGCGTATTTCTTTCTTCTCAGAGGCTTCATCAGTTTTGATGTCACCAATAATATAAACATTAGAGCCTGAAGTGCGGGGTTTCGAGTGAGTTGGATGATAGTCAAAACTTACCAAAACGACGCACAATCCGATACACAATCCAAACAAGTGTTTTGTGTGGAGTAACATATAATCGATTAATACAGGAAAGCAGCCCTGTAAAGTAGACAAAGCATGAGAAAAATGGGATGGATTATGGCCGGAAACTGTAAAATTTTAAGAAAAGTGATCAGTTTTGGTGAAGTCATATGTTCAGTTGAGATTTTGTCCTGTAAGTTGAGCTCAATCCGTAGTGAAAAGCCGAGAAGCATTGTTTCATCGGCAGTGTGCACTTTGAGAAACTCTGGGAAGTTTTGAACTGGTAACCTCCTGGCTTGTAGTTTGAATACTTAACCGTTCAGACACGAGCGGCTGATACGGGGCTCAACCACCATGCTGGTTAGTGGCTGGTGACCGAACGGTCACGTGTTCAAATTACTAGCTGAGTTGTCGCGGGTTCGAAAATCCATGGGTTTTCATAAACTGGGCACCGACGATGATTTCGAATAGGAGAAAACCGATGTACAGTGCCTCTATGAGTTTCAGTATGGACTAGCTTAACTTAAGGGACGAGATATAAATCACCTAATCTGCTTACAGTATCGTCAAAACTATGTTTGACTTCACTGGGGCGCAAAGACGTTCAGCCGCACTATAAGAGACTGGAAAACCCATTCCCTCTCAGTGGTACTAACATAACCGATTTGGAGTCTCCATTGGTTACACAACTGCAAAATAATTTTTGCGATTTGACCAGTGGGTAACCAAGCAACCATCAATATTCATGGATGGCGGGCAACTAAGGGGGTGCACGGTCTAATTATACATATTCCGGCGGCTCGTTTCTGGTTGAAATTATCCTTGCCACGGAATTCAACGGTGTTCTATAGAGGAAAATGTTGGTAGTTCAGGTAGCCTAGACAGTCTTTGGCTTGTTCGCTGAGCTGGGCAATTTGATTGCGAACGTTTCATCACCAGTTGGGGTGAAATCATCAGTGCGTTATTGGGGAGCGTAGTGGTGTGTAGATTCGGGTTAGCGGTTGTGCACAACCACAACGTTTCTAATCAAATTGCCTAGCCCAGTTCAAGGGTACGTTTGCAACTGTCACCTTAGAGATCACCATCTAAAGCCAGATAGCCGACAAAACAGACAGGACTGTCCAAAGAACTTCTCACTTATGATAGGAAATTTCAATCCCTTTTTCACTGTTTTTTTCTTACCCGCCTTTTGTTATTAAGAGACATGTGGTACTCATTTCTAACACACGTACGACCATATGCTACGAAGCACCAGTAGAGGTTAACGTTGTTTCTGACACTTTCCATAGTTTTTATATTGAACACAGCAATGATAATCCCGTGGTAACTTTTAAACAAGTGTCTATGCCCATCTACATCAGTAATATCATTTGAATGTCATTAGCTTGACTCATAATTACGATGGTGACTTGTACGCGACCGACAACTTTGGAATTGTCAGTAGTATCGTAAGCCATAAAAACATATCTGTGCGGCACCGAGAGGTCCTGTAGTTTTGCCAATAAATTCTCGTATAACATTAAGAACAACGTTCATCTGGATAGATACAGCTGAGCAAACGAAAAATTAATTAGAGTTTTGCACAGTAGCTGGATCTGTTTTTTAACGTTATTCAGAGATTTGACTAACAGGCATCTTTATTGCCAATTGCCTAATTGTCCGATCCACTGCACGTTTCGATGTCCCCCACAAGCAGGCTTGGTAACAGACAGTTCGATACGTTTAGCTCACACAGGAACTTTGACTACCTTTGATAGATATTGACGATTTCCGGGCGAAACATCTTGTATCATTCTTGACACCAGATATGATAGCTCATGTGTCACTCGTCATCAAGGTCAACGACTCAACAGTTTATATAACTGTAATCCTACAGGACTTATTGCCGAATGTTGGCCGAATTTCAAATGTAGGTGATAATCTTTGGATACTCTACGAATAACTTCCGAATAACTTCAGCTGCAGAACAGAATCCGCAATCGAAGCTTCAGAATGTGGTCGCAAATTAATTTACTCGCCGCTTCTAAGAGCAGCTTAACGCTCAGCTTCAATAACACTATCACCGTCCAGAACTGATGATCGGTTCCTTAAAGAACACAAAATAATACCCACTTCAATTTTTGTATAGTGTATTCGATAAAGGGCTTGTTTGCATATGCTTCCATATCGTATTTGACCAAATAATCTGGTTAGCTTGCGTCCCAAAGAAGTATATATGACTCACTCGACCGTTGCCAGAGCAACCGTTAACAGCCGACCGCGTGGCCGGGCACGCCCATTTAACGGTTGAATAACTGTGTTTATACACTGGACTGTCGAGACTTAAAAACAGCGACGGTTGGATTTCTCTTATGATAAAAAAACCAAGTTAAACTCAATACAATGATTAGTCTGCGTGACAAGATCATGCTGCGCAAGATTTTGTAAACTTTTCAAATTATTGCACTTGAATCATGCAGGTGAAATTCACGCTTTTGCGGATCTGATCCCTGGATAACTTAGCAAAAAACAAAAGGTAAGTGGAAAATACAACCTACTCGGTAGTACAATGCATCATTGTGTGGTCCATCGGTGTACAACGGTGGCCCGTATTGCCAATTTTGGCATCTAGTTTGGTCGCGATAGGTGTCCGTGGGATACCCCGTCAGGGCATCAAGCAGAGTATAGCAACACGACTGTGGCACAGACAGATAGAACGGACTTGCAACTGAAACGCAGGAAGAGTGGTGCACAGTTTCAGCAATCACTGCGTAACTTGAGGGAACGGATGATTTAGGTACACACTACTGTCATTTGATTAACGTTTCTGTCATACCGACTAGCACACTCTTATTGGGGAAAGGATAGAACTCGAGCTTTGCCTACTGGGTCTCATCCATTGTCCTGGAGGAACTCCACACACTTGACAATCGTAATAAAACCTTGACTCCTAAAACCCCTGAAATTGCTCGTGGGCTAACAAACAACTTGGTCGCAGCTAAAACAACAAGTTACCTTAGATCACCTAAATACGTTGTGTGCGTTGGTTTAAATCTGAAACCGGTGAACAGAGGAGCAACCGGTCTCAGTGAAATTGTAAAGTGGTGCCGATAGTCCGACTTTATGGATATTCTGTATGTTATGTATGACAGGATTGTCGCAAATACTTTATTTATGGTCACAGTCATTAGCGAATAACCTTGACGAGAGGATTCACACATGCACATTTGCCTTGCGCATCCAAGGCCAGATTTTGTACAAAGGTAATCCTAAACGGGATGCATGATTAACGTTTGGTATTATAAGAAAGAGTGGTAGAATCGATCTTAATTAGAGGCTTACCAGGCAAAAGGACATCTTTTTCGTGAAGCTGCATGTTGGTGGTCCGGAACCATACGGTGTTTTTATAGCCAACCAAGATTGTAAATCGCACAACATCGTAGAAAACTTTGCATCATGTCCCACGCTTTTGTCATTTGGTTTGTCTGGCCATACTCAGGAAGAGTGGAGGTCATAGCTTGCAAAACCCGGTCCTGCATCTGTCGACAAGATGGTAAAATACAATATTCATTTATTACATTGCGACAGACTGTTTTTGATTACATTACAGTGAGTCGTCCGAACCGAAGTTGCTCCCCAAATAAAAAATTCCTGTTCAATCAGGATTTAGTGTATGACTGCCCGATTAAACGACCTCTTTCTTCAAAATGACAAAATGTACATTCGCCGAATGGTCCGTCGGGGATCGCTGTAGTCGGCTGTTCTGCTTTCTGCGTGAATCGCCAGGCCTTTTGCTTTTAATAGCACTCAGATCACTTAGTTTCAATTCATACCAACCTGAATGAACGACGTTTGGATCAAATACTAACAGATGCCCGGAACTGGTTTAGATTCGATCACACTGGTGATACTGGGATTACAAAGTTTAGCGAACTCACATTTTCTTACTTCTACACTGCTTTCGTTTGAGCAATACCCCCGTGGCCCTGGTGCAATTATTCTGGTGAGTCCATACCAAAAGGTTGAGGTACTGGATGTAGGTTTACCTTTAATTAGAGCTCATCACTAGTACATATGTTTTTGACAAGTCTCAACCGGTATTTTAGGTTAAAAATGACTGACCAGACAAAAACATAATGCACAATTTAGACTTAGTTGTCAGACTGTAAACCAAGTGAGTAGTGGACATGACAGAACTGGAATATTGTCTTGACCTGTCGATCGATGTCCATTTCATTAAGTGAGAATGTATAATTCACGGGCTCGAACTTATTGGCCTGACGGTGATCGATCCGGTGACGTTCATGCCCAACCGTAGAGCTATTTTCGGCCAGTTATTAGCTGGGACGTCGTGGGTTTTAAATAAGGCCGAAGCATCTGTATAGTGTTCCCCGATTCTTCGGTGAACACTGGGTGAAGTCTTGATTGAGAGCCCCACACCTCCTTGTACTATCAACAAATTATAAGTAGCTCAGAAGGACGAATAAGTCATTCTAAAGACCCGCTAATTAAGGAGCCAGTAAACATGTGACCACGTGATGCAACTTTCATGATTAAAGGACAAAGGGTAGCATATCCTGTGTACATGCGAGTCAATCGCATTGTTAGGTGGCCGCTCGTAGTCAAATAGTATGGTGTCCACCTACTATGCTGGATGTCACGGTTAAAACCATTCTGAAGATTCGTGGGATGCGCACTGCTGATGATTCCCAATAAGGATGATACATCTGTGCAGTGCAATGGGCTATTCGGCATAGGCTGGCTTCACTTGTTGGACGAGGTTCCGATCTAAACTACTTAGAATTTGGTAAATGATGCTAAACGATTCAATCGAGTTGACCTGATGAACTGATCCATCAGATAGTTGAGGAGTGCGTTGTTTCCTGAATTATTTCGGACAAAACATTTTGGTGCGACGAGCGCCGGTTTGCACAACCGAGTGCCAGCTAAGTAGAAGAACTAAGCTCTGGAGCAGACCCTGTGGTTCACCCCTTCGCCAACTTGTGTTATCCTTTGCTAACACCCGCTCACAAACGAAAGCTTATAGCAGGCATTTAACACTGATTTAACCTGATTGTAATGAAGTGGTCTTGCTCAATGGTTTTTATTTTGCCTTAAAATGTGACCAACCTTTAATCTAGTTAGCTAAGTAGAAGAACTAAGCTCTGGAGCAGACCCTGTGGTTCACCCCTTCGCCAACTTGTGTTATCCTTTGCTAACACCCGCTCACAAACGAAAGCTTATAGCAGGCATTTAACACTGATTTAACCTGATTGTAATGAAGTGGTCTTGCTCAATGGTTTTTATTTTGCCTTAAAATGTGACCAACCTTTAATCTAGTTATTTGGCTTGAAGAAGCATTTCTGCCAAGAGCGGAGCGTTATCTAGCAATAAATCAACCCATGGCTTCCAAAACCCTTCCAAAATGGGATGAATTTGCGCAAAACACACTCATTTCCAAACCAATTTGATTCTAACGGGATATTCTGCTGGACTTCTCTTGCGTAGTATCATAAACGTCTAATTTCAGTCGAGCGACTCTTCAAATTTCTGTCCTCATCTGTGAGCGTAGTCCCAGTCGACTGCCACAGTGGTTTAGGGTTATTTTCCCCCGATTGGTGGATGAAAGTCACGCGGTAGATAGTAAGAAATTGGTGTGTGTAATCGCTCTGTATGTTCCTAGCCGTAAGGACATAAAGCCTGAAAACAGCCTAACATAATCAACTTGTGCAAAAAGATAATGATGACTAGAGTGCAGCTTTTCGTGCTCGGTGCGGTGTGGTGGAAACCTAGAGGTGGACAGACTCTGACATGGTAGAACGGAATGAATGATGTGATGAAAAGTTTGGGTGCTGCTGGTGCTGTTCCTTTTCCACAATTGGGTCCGCGTTACCTTCATTGTGCTTAGCTAGAAGCACAGAATAATATGGCGGCCACCCGATTTCAGTGGCGTTTATGCTTTCGGTTTCTATTGAGACAGTCTGAGTGAGTGCTTGAGATGTAGGCATCTCGGATGTTTGTGGTAGGCTATGCCTAGAACCCGGTCTGTGCCACACTTCTCTTCTTCCCATTGTAAGTCCCAGTAGACTGACAGAGCTCTGCGGCAGTGAAGTAGCATTGTTTTCATTTGCTCCTTTCAGTGACTACGGCGACAATGATGATGTTGATGAGAGCACTCCGGGTGCATCGGCGTACTAGCCAGGAAGGAACGAGTCGGGCCAACTACCAGCTTGACTTGAGATGTAAGTGTGCGCGCAGAAAGCTGAAAGAGACCAAGTAGCATTTCCTTGTTTCCTTCTCGTGAGTTTTGTGCCTATCACTCCTCTTTTTATATTTCACCGTTACACGTATCAGCCAGTTAATGATTACCTGAAAACACCGTGTTGCTCTCAAAAACTCACTTAATTTATAGTTTCCTCGGAAACTAATGTCCCTGAATCGAGGGGATTAAATTAGATGCGTCTCATAAGTTGGTCAGTGTGGCCAGTTAGCGGGCTACCGCAAGTCAGGTGTGAGGTGTCCTTTTGTTCCCTCATGAGTCTATATAACCACAACGTGGGTGGCCCTGGTTACGAGGGGGGTTACCAAGGTAATACGGTCCAAATCCTTTGAGTGCCAAATAAGCTACTGACGCTTATCTCACCATAAACAGTTCGAAACTTTTCGTTGCTCGATCGTTTCGATTTGCTCGATCGGATAGTGCCCAACATTTTATCGCTTTGTTTAATAATAACATTATCTGAACATGTCAGATCCATATCTCCTCGTCGACGTAGACCGCATACAGGCTGCATATGTTTTGTCTTGTAAGCGGTTGTTTGAGCTGCGTAAACAGGGATCATAACCTCCTTTGGGATTCGCCTTTATATTGCCACAGTATTAAGCAATCGGACTAGTTATGAAACATAAGTGGTCCTGGAAAGTGGGGAAAACCAGCAGACGGGCTGGCGCAGCTGACTATTTGCATCACACCAAACACTAATCCTCATTTCTTAGTCGGACAAATGTAGTCCAAGGCAACCTGGTGCTCTCACTTCAATTAGACGGAAAAAATTACAGATTTGGTCTAACCACAGTTCAGAACTGGCAAAATTTTAAAGCCTTGCTTTCACTACACAAAGACGACTTATAAGGGACAATTCAGGTAATTTTATTTGTATGTGAAAGTTATTTCAAAAGAGCATTATAAACGACTGTAGAGCCAATCTATAATGAGCTTACATCAGCTGTACTAGTAAAACTGAACCTAGTGATATAATACCAATCTCATCGTAAAACCCTTAAAAAGATCTGTCCCTTTTTAGTGGTCACGTATCTCACCCACTACGGTAAGGGGTAGAGTTTCTCCGTTGAAAAGACCTTTACTCCAAAAACATCAATGGAGACTCAGAGTCCCTTCACGCCACGAGTCCGCACGCTCTCGGATCGGAAGTAAATTCCCCACACAAATTAGCCTGCAGCTCCGGGAAGCAAGTTGTGTGCACATACCTACACGAGGGTTTGAAACTTTCAAAACCCAATTCTCCTTGTTCAAACCGCTGTATATTTCACTTGCGGAAATCGGACTGAATAATCATCAGTCACTGAGTTCTTTTGGGACTCACCAATCTAATCTATTTTCAACTTCGGCGCGTTTCCAAACACGTCTCACAATACTCCTCAGTTATCAAACACCAACTAAAAATCAAACGTGGGTTGGCTATATGCTAGGGTTCTCGAGAGATGGTGTATTCCAGGGAATACTTAAGGGATAACGCATGACATTAGGCTGCACTATAGTGTGTTAAAATTCCAGGGCTTGTGAACTACATCTTGTTTGGCTTCAGGAAGTCCTTCTGACACCTAGCTTGGTCCGTGTATGGAACTGGACAGTGGTATCTCACGTAGTGCAAACTCCATGTAAAATATCAAGGAGTAATCTTAATTGGTAGGGGATTTTCATCTGGTAGCTGAGGCTTGCCGAAGAAGTTCTGTGACCGATGCGAGAAAGTGGCAAAACTGATCAAATGAAACGAAAATACAGTCTTTTAGCACAGAAGTTCCCTTGAAAGGGCGCAAATTTCGAAATATTTGGTTTTCAACAAGTGAATATGCATGTTGAGGGCTTTTCCTTAACTCCTCGTCGATCACTACTCGATGAAGATCATTTCCTTGGAGGAGTTGCATTGCTCGTATCTTGCAACCTTAACTAGTCTGCTCGTGTGCGGTATATAATCCATCTAATTCACTCAGCTGAGCACCGGTGATGCCTCCCAAATACGTGACGAAAGTTCGGCGGACAGACCAACCGTGACACGATCAACCACCGATCATTGTATCATATGTATTATATCATCTTGCGACGGACCATGTTTGGGCACTTTTCTCACTGAACCACCAGAACATTTGTTTTCGCACGATTATTCTCGAATTGACACGACTAGATAACGGATTCAACTAACGAGGATCTCTAGATCCAATACCTTCAGTGACTTCAAGAGTCAGATGGTGCAATGAAAATAATCCTTCAACTGTAACACTCTCCCACTGCGTAGCCGTCATGCCCCGCAAGTTAAAAAAGAGGGTTTGCATTCCGCCCGTTTTTCAAAGTCTAGACGGGAGAGATAGAATTCCGGCCACAAATCTTCTGGACAGTAGGCTGGCGCCTTAATCACTGAGCTATTTTGAGGTCGATGGCACATGTCGGTTTGCTAATCCCGTGAAATTTCCTGCCTTCGTTCAGCCTCCAATGTGTGTGAGACAACTGAGAGATCACAATTCTAAAACATTTCATCAAAGGAAGATAAACTTTAGGTGTATTAATTTCGGAAATAACTATGTAATTATGTCTAGCTTGACTGTTTGTTGTCAACCAGTTTAACTGTACCAGGCCGTGATAAAAAATTGACCGTAACCTTGAAAACTATGGATTTCCTATTGTCCTTTTCTTAGCGTATGAGTAGCAAACAGAGCCATCTGGATTATTTACCTTCGCACCGGTGCATTATTATTAAGAATTACGTCCGAACATTTGTGGTTCTACGACATATCACGTTTCACCCACCTACGATTATGCTGGAACCGCATTCGACTCTGCCAAATGATCTCCTTATCTTCACCTTTTTTCGATAGGCGAGAAGATACACGCAGCTTCTAGACAACGCTGATATTTGGTAGTAGGATCCTTATTTATTCGAGGCGCTTAATTTCTCCTTATTCATCGCTTCCAGAAACTTCCACGTCCTACCGCGGTACAGAGTTTAGGATAGAACCACACTTTTCATGTTGCTGTACTCAAAGTATTATTATTCAAAACTTTTGATCAAGCTCATTACACTGTACCAAACCCATCGTTTTTTCATGAATCTCTTCGGACAGATAAAATCCACGACGGTCCACACGTTGCTATTTGATCATCTCAAGTGAAAATATGTGGTCCCAGCTTTGATTGCATCACCCATAGGTTAGAGCTGATTGTGGGTAAAACCAATATTTGTGACCTTAAAGTGTCATGGAGTGAATCTTGGAAGACCGCACGTCTTTAAGTGGTAATTATCTCTCGCACCAGTGAAATGGGCTTGATAAAGTTCCTTACACTCGACCAAGGAACATGATGTTCCAAAAGCGTTTAACGCAAAATCGAGATTGAAAACTAGTGAACAATTACTGTGAGCCTCAAATGTCATGAATCGGATGCGAGCGGCGGAAATTAGGAAGAGTGTAGTTCTTCGTATTTTGCGCCCTGCACTATCTTTGGGTGGACAGGTTCTTCAAACAACATCAGTTGTAGTGATTTTTCAGGTTGGCCTACCAGCCTCTCCATTCAATATTGACCGATTCTAGTGTACCGTCAGAACACCGTAGTTTAGGTGCTACGCAAAGGAAAGACGGTTCACGTTCTGGTGCTCAACTTCTGGCCAATAAAATATTTTGCGTATTTAATTCTCCAAGTACAAACTGCTTTTGAGATTTTTTTTTCAAATTTATGCGTCACTCTCCACCGTGTTTCCTTTAGTTTACGCTCTGTTCCTCTCCGTTAGACTATTTCAAGAACAACAATATGCGGGAATCGTAACCAGCTGGTCAATCGACGAGTCTTGTAGGTCAGTCGGTAAAAATTGAAGGGTGTGATGAAAGACAGAGACTTACTCATGCTAAGAACCGATCACAACTTTGTAAGTCAGTCGGTGACCACTGACCGATAGGTGTGCTGTGAAATCTGACCAAAAGTAATGAATCAGATTGACTTATTTTGTGCTCTTGCTTGATTTAGTTCTTCAAGAAATACACCATTCAGAGATATGAATTTTAAATTGGACATCCGGTCAACTTAATGGTGTTTATGTGATTATGTTTGCCCCAAATTAGTAATTTCGCGTACTGCTACTCTGAGTATCATTATCGTCGTCACCATCATCATCATCTGAAGCATCATGATCATCCCCATCATCAGAGACAGCAAATTTAATGCTAACAGTGCTGCTGCACCGCCGTATCTCCACAAATTTGACCCCATTATAAGCAAAGCCTTAAAGTGAAAAGAAGTGAAAAGGGGGAGCAAGGTTGCATACAACCTATGTCAATGTCTATAAGTTACATAAAAGTGAAAAACATCCGGAACTGACTTTACTGAAACCACCAGAGGGTTGAAAAATGCTCTTAAGAACCCTTTGGATCATGATGAGTCCCTTTCTTTAGTAATTCAATCACAAATCGGACTATCAATATTGACAAGCACACCTGCTCATTGATAGGAAGTTTGTCGCAGAATTATCACCCCAGTTGACCGAATATCCAGGCAGGTTCCCGGCATAAAAGCCTCGTGAAGTGACCACGTATAAACGTACCAGGCAGTTGACCAGGCAGGTTCCCGGCATAAAAGCCTCGTATAAACGTACCAGACAGTTGTTGTTTACAGTAATCTCATAATTAATTAACCATACGACATGTATTATAGATAGCAACTTAGGGTGGGTATTTAATACTCAAACTTGATAGTGTTGCTAAGATCGCAAATGAGCAACTCTTGTAGGGTTTTTAACCCAATTTTAAAGAATGAACCTGGTGACTCATCTACGTAGCAGGACGCATTCAGTAGTTCAGGGTAAGAAAGTTGGAATAGTACTTGATCAGGTTAAACGTAAACTCACCGTTCTTGGATAGCTGAATAGAATGATTCCCAAAATCAATACGATCGTAAACAAACATATCGAGCTCACAACCGTCTAGCAAGTCACAGAGTGAGTAGTTGAGTTACCAATATGGTTGTAAATCGATTTTCTTGCGTGAAGTCATAGAATGCGAATAGTCCAAGGACAATTGCGAAAATCCCACAGGCAAGCACCGCATATAAGCACCCGTAGAAAACGTATCTTCCAAAAACTTCTGCAATATTTTCGTACAGCACCAAAACGTAAGTAGATGTCCCAGCAAGAGCACCACCAAAGCACTAGGAGGCAGGAATAATTTGAATCGCACAACCAACTCACCACTAACAGCAGAACAAGAATGTTTCCCAAAAGGCGCACTACATTGTAGGCCGTAAATATGGTTGGTCCTTGCATGTCTTCACCGCCGAAAAATTGTATCAAGCTAAAATGTAGAAACACAAATGTGAAGTTCGCATACTGGCAGTGAGTAGTACCGCAAGCCTAAGGATGGATTAACTAGCCACAAATCTATGCTATTTATTCTTGGACTAGAGTGTCAGTATATCAACTTTCCCGTTAAAGATACCTCCGAAGAATAACCAGTCGCCTATATTGTTCTAATCATCTTCGACCTATCAAACACCCCCTGAGAAAGAGTTTAGTTATTTGTGATTCCTGTTGTAGCCTGATTCGTGGGAATCCATTCACTACGTAACCACACTAGTTGAGGAGGAATAGGCAAAAACTAAATATTTCCATACCTGGAAGATAAACTTTCCCAGCTAACTTGACATTTGGCTATGAGCCCTTCACCTGATTTCTTTGTTCTATGCATGTTTCTGCTCTTGCTCTCATCACTGGAGGTAAACGTGTACTCAAAGATGAGTGTTTCTTATACTTCGTTCCAGGAGACAACGCCAGGCAAACACTAAATTAAAAAATGAAGTAGGAGAGAATGGTTCACCTGACGCCTTAGGGAAATAAACACACTAGACTTTTTTCTGTGCATCCCATTAGAGGGCTGTCAGCAATGAACTTTGTTGTGCTCAGTATCGTAAGTTAGGTGAGTTTTTCCGGGTAAATCACTAAACTAATCGGATTTGGTAGAGTAGTTGCTTTTTTAGTGCGCCTAATTTGAGAGTAAATAGAAACTGGCAGTCAACAAGTAGCTGATGCTGTGGAAAACGATTACTAAATTTGCTTCTAAAGTTTATTTAATTGGATGCAAACTCTAATTTGAGAGTAAATAGAAACTGGCAGTAAACAAGTAGCTGATGCTGTGGAAAACAATTACTAAATTTGCTTCTAAAGTTGATTTAATTGGATGCAAACATTCGGCTGCCGTTGAGCCGGCATTGATGTGCGCTATGCGTGCCAATTTTAAAAACTACTTTTTACGGTGAGCTCGTGTCTGTCCTCAGGAAATGATACCTCAGATGAGACTGACTAACATACTCGCGCCTTTTCATCTACTTAAAAAACAGAATCTAATTTGCCATAATTTGAACGTAAACTTTGATGGTTGTTTCTGTATAGTTTCTGATCAAGAACTCCTCCTGCCTTGCCGAGCTTATTCATTTTAGTGGTTATTATGGTGTTTGCGGAGTAACCAGAATAATCCTGTCGGCAGAGGTGACAATGTAAACGAGAGTGATGGGAATTCAAATATGCTTATACAACTTATTCAGCAAATGGGTTGCAATATACTGGATTTGTTTCAAGACTCAGGTTTCAGCATGAAGGTTTAAAGTAAGGGTGAACATTGATAGGATAACAGGTATCCAGGGTGATCTCATGCCATCTAAGCGTGAATGTTGCAGGTAAACCTCGATGGTTTGATACAGCTTCAATGGAGAATTAACGAACCAAATTCCACTCCAATCCGAGCTGATCAAAGAAACCGGAGTCTCCTTTAACCACTCAAAGTGGGGATATACTATATCTATGTGGACCGCTCTGTTCCTTGTTGATAGCTATCAGATCATCTAATGCTTTAGGCACGACTATTAGGCAAGGATTCTTTGAACTGTTCCATTTGATGACTGTTACAAAGCGTCATTTTGGAAAGCTTAAGGGATTAATTTCGGAAATGATGCGTTCTTTGTCATTTTCAACGTTATATAATTGTTAACCTCGGTCGCTTGCCACTACTTATTAGAATGACCATTCATATTTTGGGCAGAAAATCACCAGACACATCATTCTATGAGGAACTATAGGAACGTCTATGGCTAAACTTTAAATTTTTCTTGAATAGATAGATGATTTTATAGAAGACGGACGGGTTAGATATATAAGAACCGGTTTTTTCTGCATGTTGATAAATGGGCTTTCAAGATCTGTTAGTTTCCTCTCTCTTTTGAGACTTGGGAACGGTAAGCGATGAACTACGGAGAATATTTGAATTAATATGACCTTGGCACAATACCCCACCATTTTATCGTATTAATCATTCCACTGCATTATTAGTAATAATAAAAATAATTCACAATATGAAAACATAGATTTGCGCTGATGGTAGATCAGCAAAATAGCCACGAAAGCTTACCGCCCGAGAAGAGGGGCTTGAAATGTTTAGCGCTTCCTTTTCAGTTTACATAAGGTTCTACTTGAAGCACATCGCTAAAATTATGGCTTTACCGCAACGGAGAATGTTTGAGCGACCTTTTTATCTTTCAACTCCTGACACTGCACGGGAGCAAGTTACTTGGGAGCACAGTGAACTATTTTATATTTCCACCTAGCATATGTGAACTCCTGGTTGAACAGTCACTGCTCCCAACACAAAGTGTTTTTGTTTCCTCAGAGATACTTTTGGATTAGCGAGAAAATACTGGGTTAAGTGAGGATAAGGTTGTGTGCTTCAGGCACGAAGACCTGGACTCATGAATAAAAGAGGAAGCAAGCAAAATACGTAAACTGAAAGTGCCTTAACATTCTTACCTAAAATGCAGAAACGGGTGACGAGATTAGACGTGTTTTTAGCCTGGCATTACATGTCCTCGAGCAACCCTTTCTTATTGTTTAAGGTATTTAAGTTCCGAATCATTTCTGCGAAAGCGTTTTACCTCCGTAAACATAAAAACGCTCTAGTCACTAGGCAGCACTTATTGTGGCCATATTAACTAAAATATCAGTTTTTAACCCATCTTTCCTGTCCACAAAACTCTCAATTTCCTGAGGTGATCTCCGCATCAACACCAGAGAGAATGACGCACATTCCGGACTCCCGGCGGCAGATGCATACAGATAGGATAGCATATAGAATAGATGTAAAAGTAAATAATAATGATGTCCATCAATAAATAAAAACACCTTCAATAAAAATTTGAATTAAATTATGGTCGTATGACCAAGAAGCCTCAGTGATGTAAACGTATATTGTACTGTCGATGATAAAGATTATATTCTCATTTCACGTCGACTTCTGCGTATTCTCCTGACCTGCTATCCTTCCATTCCACAGAGCGAAAGTTGTAACAGCATGAACGAAAATGCCCCAACAAGGCAATCACAATGAAAAGTCATTACGGACTTGGTCGTTCCTTTTGGTTACGTGACCTTGTTGAACATCTGTTGGCCTTTTATCTCTGCTACGTATGGATTTTTGGTACTGTTGTGGCAAACTTGATTGATCTATCTCGTTATTTTGTCTCTGGCCTGTAGGGCGTACACGTTAGTTGCTTACAATCGCATTGCACCACGCCACAAATACATTCGTCACGCCGATGCCGTTGTAATATCTGGTGTTCTGAACGGCAGAAAAAGACTGGGCGACGATTCTGACTAATCTAAGAAAGATAATTTACTGTCAACCATTTGAAAGCTGCGTCTCGGTCTGGTTATGCTATTTTATGATCAAGATGGGTGAGGATAAAATTTCGGCTCTTCCTATTACATGCAAATATTTAACACGGAATGTTCGTAGGAAGGTAAAGAATTCATGAAGCCTAGAAAAAAATTGCACCCATTACTCATCCTTGTTATGCTCTACATGGATTAGTTTTGGCTTAAACATGTGTTGCCTAATATATGGCCACAGTATATCGTGTATCGATAAACGACTGAGAGGGGATCCTCAGCTTTCCGGTTCGAACGGATCAGTGATCATCGGGTCCTACATGCTTGACCTGAGAGGATTGTGATGAACATGACTGATACTCTATTCGTTGCTCTATTCATTATTCTCTTGTTTTAATATTCCATATGCTGTACATATTCGCCAATTCGAATA